TGTCAGGTGGTTCTCCCCCTTGAACTGTGTTCCTGCCGTGACTCCCAGATACCGACCTGTGTTTCTTCACCCCCTCCCGACTTGTTGATTCAGGATCTGAATCCTGTGCTTCTGAAACAAATGACCTTGCTTTCTGTGCTCTTAAAATAATCTCTCTTGATGGCAGCCACCTTTTCATTTTGAAAAGCACAACTAAAAGACTAGTTACTATTTGACTGTTTGAGAAGTTCCACATTTTTAAGTGTCATGGGCAAGTGCGTGGTTTAAAAATACAAAAATTTGAACCGCGCACTTTCTTTAAATTAAAAGAAAAAAAGAACACAATGGGCCTCTACCTCCCAGTTTGCCTTTATGATGGTACTGGAATACAGTAGGCTTACACTGCAGAAGCAAATTATTCTGGTTCAATAGGTGACTTGCCCTATGGAGTGATGGTGAGTTGGGGTTCTCCCGTGTGCTGTGTGACCTGTTGTGAGTGTGAGCGGTTACTGGGAGTGTGTTTAGAGACACCGTTGGGAGTAACGTGTGTATTAGTTATATCTCCATTCTTGCTAAGAGGATGAGAATAGGCATATCAGTACAGCAGGCATGTCTGATACAAACAGTCCTACAAATACCTAGAGCAGTGAGAAACCGTATCCAAGATCAGCTGTTGTCCCTGTGGAAGTCAGTGGTAAAATACAGTCCCTGCCTCCAGGAGAGAAGGCAAGTATTGGGAAGAGGTGCTGTGAGATTATCAGAGGATTAATAGTAGGGGCAGAAGAGTCCTAATCACTGAAAGCCACCGTCTTTTGAAGCTCTGAAGAGCCGGCATGTTACGTGTGTGTGGTGGGACCGTGTGATGTATGGAGAGGAGAGAGCATTCCCGTGTATTGCTGGCTGTGAAAGGGACAAGCTGCTGGGATTCAGCCCCCAGCTGGCATTCTGTAATGCTGGGATCAATCCCAGATCTGGAGGATCCCCTCTGGAGAAGAGCGGAGGCTGGGGCTGTTGGGTTGGAATGTCCACTGTGTGCAGGTGCCCGCGGTGCCAGGCGCTGCTGAGGCTCATCTCCAGCACAGCTTGGTGGGCTTCTGAGCAAAACTAATGGATCCTGCCCCAAATGTTAACATTCCGCTGAGCTGCTTGGTTATCCGAGGGAACGCAAGTATGGAGGGAAGGATGAAAGTGGGGAAAAAATGTAATGAAAATGGCGTAGGACCTGTCAAATAATGCGCTCTTGGCATCCTGCAATATTTGTCCCCTTATCAGCAGGGGCACGGCGGTGGGTACCCGCACGCAGGCAGGGCCCAGTCCTGAGGATGCTTCCGTGGGAATTACTGTGATCAAAGCTGAAGCGAAACATCAGTTTGGTGTTGCTAATTCCAGGCAGACTGGTTCAGTTCTCTGCCCTCGGTCCCGTGGGCAAAACTATCTAATTTCCTGGCAGGTTGTTATCCTGAGACTCCGTGTGTGTTTCTCCTACCATACCTCTCACTCAAACCAGCCCTCGGAGCTCATGTCTGCAAGGACTATCTGTTTTTAAAATGATACAAGTTTCACAAAACTTTCTGCTGAAAATGTGAGGCTTTGGAAAATAAAATTATTTTGCTGAGCAGTATTTGAAATATTTCCATAGCAAGTCAGTTCAGTTCCATTTAACATATATACCAGAATTCAAAAAGTTTTACCTAGTTAATATTAGTGCTCATTTAAACACTGTTAAATTTGCCTGGTAATAGTTAATAATAAAATAATCTGTTGTACACACCACCTTTCCTTTCTATGGTAAAGCTTGCTTTATTTTTTTTATTTGAATAAATTTCAGTAAGATTGCATTCTTCAGGAAATAAGAAAGCCTCTGGGATTTTAATGTCTCATTTCTTTGGAGGATCAAGAATCTTACTTTTGAAACGTTCGTTCCACAGGGCAGTTAAACCATTAACCAAATCAATTTGGGAGGGGAGACCTGTTGAAATCAGGGTCTGTATTTTGCCTAGGAGTGGTTAAAACGCAGTTATCATGTTAGGGTAACTTTGGTGAGAGCAAAAAAGCATGTAGTCTTGAAAGCATGACTTCATAGTGGATGAAATATAAAATAGTTGTGTGTTAAGAGTAATGTTAGAACCTTGGAGCCAGCATAAATAATAAAGCACGGCTGGTTTGAAGCTACAATCAAACTTTATGTCAGCTCCTCTCCAAGTGCACTCTGTGGAATTTTTGATAATGGACCTGTGTTGAAAGAACATCTCTAAAAATCTTTGATGCGGATGCAAAATTGTTGCAGTTAATGGTAAAAGTGTCTTTCTAGTAGTTTATCTGATAACTTTGCTGATGGTTCCTGTTCTTAAACATCATTCTCATCAGAAAAATGCAGATGAGTTGAAATACGAGCCAAGATAAACCTATGTATGTCAAGCTTTATGGATTTATGTCAGTTGCTGTTGCGTATAGAAAACCTGTTATCTTTTCTGCCTAATACATGAATCATGCACCTAAATAGACTGGTTTATGGTACCTATGACAGAATAAAGCAGTCTGGGTAGGTGCATGATTCATGTATTAGGCAGAATTTAACCTGCTGAAGGATAGATGGGGAGGGCATCGCTGTGAAACTGAACAGAGAGTCTTAACAACAGGGTGGTGAATGGAAGGTTTTATTTTTATGAATCTGTGAATATGACCTACTTGAGAAAAGTAGGAAAAGGACATTTTGGTGGTTTGTGGTGCTCTCCAGAAATCCATAGGCAGGGACCTTTGCAATGACTATCAAAGTAAAAATAAATACAAGTGAGGACTAAAGGTCGAAGTGGAATGATGGAGACTCATTCAGAAAATGTAAGATGTTTCCCTCTTCCCTCTCCTGAGCATGGCTCTCTTCCAGGGCTAACGGTGTGATCTGTTCTGTGGGAAGAAGGAGATAGTTTTAAACTAAGTCTGTTGATATTGCTTCTCCTCGTCACTCAGAATATGCAATTAATCTGAAACTATTGATGAGAGTATCCAAATGAAATGACCTTCCCCATCTGTATACACTTCAGGTTACAGTATTGACCATGCAAACACACACATTTCACTGCAACCTCTTTCAAAAGGTAGATTGTTACACAGGAGGGTGGCGTTTTTAAAAGGAGTGAACATTGTAATGTATTTGAGCGTTTTGGGTGGTCTTTTGTGCCCCTTGCCCTTTAGGAGTTGTAGTCTGACGCGGGGGGTTCTTTTGCTTGTTTTCCCGTGGTGGTTTTGTTTGCTGCCTTGGGGTTTTACAGGGTGGGAGGACTTGCTAGTTTTAAAATCATACTGGGCCTTGAAAATGCTAAAGGATAGATGTAGCTTTCAGGGCAGTGTGAGAACTCTGTGGCTGTGTAATCGCTGTGTGTGTTCCAGCCCAAGCAGTGGGTGGGGGGCTTGGGCGGTGGGGTTCTTCATGTGCCAGTTGAAATGGCTCCCTACTAATCCTGGGCTGCCTTTGGGCTACCTCTTACTACAGATAAGAGAAAGAATTTTTACTTAATTCTATGGCTGCAGTGGATTTTTTTCTTCTTCCCTGCCAAGATGTCAGGATAGGTACTGAGCCTTTCCCGTCACTGAGCAATGAGTGGTGTTTTCTTCCCATTCCTGCAAAGCAACTCTCCTTTCTCCAGCTCGCACATATGTTCTACCAGCAAGCTGCTTGGTAGAAAGTTTCCAAAAGTTGGTTTTTTTGGTTTTTTTTTTTTTTTTTGCAAATGACTTGTCATTAAATTCATTGTTGCAGTGTTTTAGGAAGAAATGTTTGAATTACAGATTTAAATCTTATTTTTGAGGAAAGCATCCAAAAACTTGATTGTTTATTCACAGCTACATAACAGTTAATATTTTGCAAATACAACTGTATGAGCTTTCAGTATTTCTTTGAGACGTTTCTTCAATGTGGCAGCTGTACAAGAAATTGGTAAATATTGATTTCTGAGTGAAGTTTATACAGTGGAAATGCAAACTTAAGCTGCAAATGTATGTAAATCAGCATTATAACCTACAGCAGTGTTTGATACGTGTAGCTATTCCTTGGGAAGCACGGCAGACAGCCCTGCTTTTACACCTGGAGATGGCAGGTTGAAGATTTTTTGTTGTTGTTGCCTTTGTTTATCTCAAAGCTGGGGTGTTTCTGCCTGTGGGGATGCGTTACTGGGATGTGACTCTTGGGGAACCAGGAACCATGCCGTTTGTCCCCAGAGCTGAGTGACACATCAGCAACAGGATTCCCACGTTTCCAGTGAAACACAAAGATGAGATCCCACCGGTTTCAGTTACATAAACGTTGTTCCTGAAATGTTCTCGGCTATTAGCGGAAACTGAACTGCAAAGCTGTGATTTATTTTAAAGAATGGGTTTTTGCTCAAAGGCGTGAAGAAGCCAGCACTGGCTCGGGGGGTGATGGCTGAGCAGAGGTGCTGCCCCAGCGGGTGCTGAAGGTGCAGGGCTTCCCTTCCAGAAGCAGAAGGTGGGAAGTCTGCATCTTCAGAGCTGTGTGGTGTTTTATCTCTGCATTTAATAACAGCAGCAGTCCTTCTGGGCATCTGGATGGGGAGTTGTACTTGTTTTGCCTACTGTGGTGGATTGTTTTCTGGAGTTTGTCTCTTGACACAGACTGCTGCTACAGATCTTGTCTGCTGTGGATAAAAACGGATCGTTGCAGACTTTCTTTTGCTTCATACTGTGTTTCAGAATTCTTTCTGATCGGAGGGTTTGTTCTCTGGAAGTAGTGCTGTAGAAGATACGTCCTCTGTCATTTTGCAGGAAAAAGCTTCCAGTGAAGGAAAAGAAGCTAATTGGAGTCAGGGTACTTCAGCTCTGTCGCTGTTCAGATTTACTGTATGTTGTAAGAAGTACGGGTGTTTTAAATGAGCTAATTACCGTCACACGAAATTACTGGGTGATTGCACTGTTGGATTTTGTGCCAGAAGCCAGGACGGTTGAACAGCCCAAACGGATGGCAGCATTTTCAGTACACTTACACCATCATTTCCTTCTCTCTCCAGCTGCAAGCACAAGGTATACTTGGAAAAGCTACCGAATACGAGCATAATTATCCCCTTCCATAACGAAGGCTGGACTTCGCTCCTGCGGACAATACACAGCATCATCAACCGCACGCCGGACAGCCTCATCGCCGAGATCATTCTGGTGGATGACTTCAGCGACAGAGGTAAGGCCTGGGGGGTCTGCCGTGGTGTGGAACATATAGGGCAGCGTGGGCCTTATGGAGAGCAGGGGGAAGAGGGATGCCAGGAGGAGGTACCCTCTGGGCTGCAGTGACCCCGTGCCAGCAGCTCTGGCTTCACTCTGCCTGAACACCGGCACGCACGGCGACGGGGAGGGACTGCCAGCTGGTCGTGTGCCTCTGTTTATATGGCGTTTGGAATAGACTCGTCCTGAAATACTGCAATCGTAGCCTTTCAACACCTTGTCCTGCAGCTTCACTTTTACTCCGAAAGCCTGTTGGCTTTGACCATTTTGGACACAGTGCGTTAGATTTCAATCATGGGATTCTATTGAGTTAAACAGCTTCATACACCGGTACAAAGTAGCCTTACAGAGAAACGAGACTTTATAGGAGGGAATGGGGAAAACTGCTTCAGAATAGTGGATCGAAGTTTGTCATCTATGGGTGGTAAAATTAAGAAAACTGCAATCACTGAATGATCTCTGCCCTCATTACGTCTTGAATGCAACATGAGAAATGAATGCTCTGAAGTTCCTTACATGAAATTTAACAATTTCTTTGGAAAAATTCATCCATAAAAATGATATGGAACTGGGAAATGTTTTTCTTTTAAATCTCTGTATGTTTTTTAGAACTTCAATAATGAAGAGCTTTGACTTTTCTTGTTTTTCTTTTAAATCTCTGTACATTTTTTAGGACTTAAATAATGAAGAGCTTTGACTTTTTTTTTGTCATTTGGTGGGGTTTCTAGTTCTAGGTGCTGGTGTGTGTGTGGGGCTGGTTCTGAGGTTCTAGTTGTTTCTGGTGAAACAGGAGTTGCTGGTGTGTGTGTGGGGCTGGTTCTGAGGAAACTGATGGACAGCAAAAGAGAATTGTTCTCTTTGCTAATGTTTAGGGGAAAACCTGTGTCTCGGCTGGGGACTTAAGAGGAGCCCGTTTCTGAGCTGCCCTGGGTGAAGGAGAGGAGTGTTGGTAGAGCGCTGCAGTGGAATTATTTCTGTGAGGTTTTTGAGGAGCCCGTTTCTGAGCTGCCCTGTGAGAATGCCCTGGGTGAAGGAGAGGAGTGTTGGTAGAGCGCTGCAGTGGAATTATTTCTGTGAGGTTTTTAACTTGACATTTCAGGGGTTGGAAAGATTAATGCCACACACATCTGTCTTCCCCGCTCGAACCCGCTGCGTTGGTTGCGGTAGGGGCTGTGATGAACTGCCTCTGCCTCTGTAATGCCATTTCAGTGAGACTGTGAGGCGAGTACAGCTCTGGCTATTCTGGGTTTATAACATCTAGACCCTGAGTGGAAGTTTTCCAAACAAGCAGGGTAAAGTAGCACAGCAATTTTCCTGCGGGCGAACAATTTCCTGGTACTAAGCAGCTTACTGGGAAGTCTCACAGTCAGTTTTGTGAGGTGTCTGACAAGTAAAAATGCTGCTTGTACTGAGAGCAGGCGTTGAGGCTGTGCCTGCCAATAAGGGGATACTGCGGCAGTTCTCGTAGTGCAAATCACACTGACTGTTGTTGATATTCAATGTGTTAATGTTTTAGAAAGCTTATCTGCTTCCCACTTATTAGAAAAAGAACTGATGCCAGTGAATAAGGAATATTGTAACTTCTGTTGCTCTTTCTTGCCTGCCCTAACTTAGGTTTTGCTGCTGGCTGAAAGTATTTTGGGTTTAAATATTAACTGTGATATTGATTTCTATAGCACTATAAACATCTCCCAAATCATCCTCATTTCCAGTTGTATAAAGATACCTAACTCTTCAGCGGAACGCGTTTCAGCTGGAGGAAGTAGTTCATATAGCGTGGAAGAGCTTAATGTTAAGTGTGAGTTTGAAAATCGGGGCGAAACCTGTTGAGAAGACTTGTACAGAGCTGGGCCTGGAGCTGGTGTACCCTTAGGAAGATTCACCTCCCTGCTTTTTGTTGTTATAACAAAGATGAGTGGTGTGTGTTTGGGCGGTTGCTGGCTGTGAGCTGGAGCGTGTTGGGCAGGGTCCCTGGTACCATGTGCTCTGAGAATCATAGAATCATTCAGGTTGGAAGAGACCCTTGGGATCATCGAGTCCAACCATCTCCCCTACTCTACAAAGTCCTCCCCTACACCATGTCCCTCAGTACCCCATCTAAACGTCCCTTAAACACATCCAGGGATGGTGACTCAACCCCCTCCCTGGGCAGCCTGTTCCAATGCCCGACCACTCTTTCTGTGAAAAATTCCTTCCTAATGTTCAATCTAAACCTCCCCTGTTGGAGCTTGAAGCCGTATCTCTGCTCCGAATTCGGTAACGCTGAGTCTGCAGGCAGGGGAGTCATTTTGACATACCCAAAGTGGGTTTAATTCTTGCATTTGTGATCCTCTAAACTATGCTTAACTGAGGCAACATTGTATTTTCTTGTCCTCTTTCTTAATGAAGTGGCCACGTGTTGGGTTAACCTTTCTTCTTAATGAAGTGGCCACGTGTTGGGTTAATTTGTCTTGAAAAAATACTGACTGATAGCCATCCCCTCCCCATTCACTAAATAATCCTTCTGAAATGAATGGGTAGATGCCTTGTTTATTGTTATGAGTCCTTCACTCTTTCATTGCTTTTTCCCAGACTGATGAGAGCAGTAATGTGAAAGACATCGGAGGCAGATTAGGTAAAAAATGAAATATAAGTACGTTGGGTTGTTGCCAGAAGCAATAGAGGCATTGGGAGCGGAGCTGGGGGCAGCGTGAAGTGGTGCAGTGATCAGAGGTGAGTCTGTGTCCCTGCTCTCCCTCTCCCATTTCTCCATGAAGCCTCCTGTGCCAAAGAGCTGGAAAAGGGCTGATAGTTCCTCTGGTGAAATCAGTTCTGTGCTGTTTAAGCAATGTTATGTCTGCTATGCTTGTTGCACAACTTCGGATTATAAAGTACTAGGAACTGAAACATCACTTGTAGGTAGCTGAAAGGGAGAAGAATGGGATATTTCAACAGCACTGTTATTATAAAGTACTGATTAAATGGCAAATGTTTTTCTCTAGGGTGTTCCACTAATCAAAGTTTGCCTTCTTACAGAAGTTGTTATGAAAAAGCAGTCCCTGTTAGAATAGAGTAGATGAGAAAAAGTAGAAACTTGAAAGGGGTGTAAAAGATGGATAAAAAACGCTGGAGCTTTTTGTTTTTGCAGCTAATGCAAATATAAACGCTGAAATGCACATGAAGGACTTTTGATAAGAGCTGATGAGACTGTTTCAGCGCATAGCCCAGCACTTTGCTGGTTTGTCTGCAAAACTCCTCGTGTGCCTTCCTCTTGTTTGTCTGCACTTCTGCAGCTTCTGTGATCAAACCCAGAAACTTTAGATAGTTCATGCATAATATTCACCATAAATTATGACATTTAGACATTATAAAAGTGAAAGGACAGCTGCACCTTTTTAAATATCAATGTAATGCAAACTAGAGACTTGGTATTAAGTGGGGGGAGGTAAGCAAATGTTAGCAAATTTGGAAGTGCAGTATTTGATCATGGACAAATTTAATAAAAATCCCTACATGAATACAAAAAAAATCATCTGTGACAGAAAGAAATGTAGATTTGAATATAGGCACCAAAGTTGCAAGTATCTTTATTCATTTTTTGGGGGAGGGGTTTATATACTTAAAAATGAAGGAGGACTGAGAGAAACAATTGAATTAGTGGAATTATTTCCAACTCTCTGTTTCAACAAAAGTAACACGTATTGACATGGTTTACATCTGGGTGAACACAAATGCCCCAAGGTGGGGCAGTGCAGAGGTGAAAGGGAGCTGAAGCTGCAGTTCACAGGAGTTTTCCACACGTGGAAGGAACGTGTTGTCACTGAACAGGCTCCGCAGAAGAGGGACAAGTTTTAGACTTGGATTTAGTTTCCCTGGGAAAGCTGGCCATGCTGTGTGCTGGCAGGCACAGTTAAGAAGGTTTTTACTCTTCCCGGCTCATTTAGCAGTCAGTTCTTCAACACAAACTTCCACAGAATTCTTAGAACTGAGCTCTAGGTCCCGGTGACGTGGCTTTGGGTACACATCGTAGCTCTGAATGCTGAGGTGTGCAGAGTATTTCTGACTTTGTGATGGGTTTGGGGTTACTAACTGTTCCCAGGTGTGACTGATGCAAGCCCTGCTCCCCAGAGCCGGGTCAGGAGGTGGCCCCTGCCCTGGCCAAGGACCATTTTCTGGTGAGGGGCCCCGACAGCCCTGTGCCCGGGTGCTCTGGAGGGTCCCTCTGGCAGCCTGAGCCCACTGCCTGGGCATGGGAGCCTGGGGAAAGTGGCTTTTATTTCCGAGGGGGCTTTGAATTGGGGGGTGGGTTGTGGGTTTATTCTGGGGGCTGGGGTGTGTGTGGTGTTGTGTTTGCTCCGAAGCTGCAGTCCTTGGTGGAGGGATGGCTGCAAACACGGCGAGAAGCAGAATGTGGGCAACAGCTTCGGAGGGGAGGCCAGAGATGGGAAAAAAAGCACATTTTCCCTGGTTCGGTTATCGAACAGCTTGCACTTGCAAAGGCATACTAAAAATTCCAATTAATGTTTTAAAACTTGGGGGAGACATGGATTTGCATAATTACTTAGTTAAACAATTCATGTAGGTTGCCAGCACACAATAGGTTTGTGCACAAACCTTTATTCCTTTTGGGTTTCGGTGACTCTATTGGCAGAGTGGGGCTGTGAAGTGGTGCTGACCCAGGGGTAACGCTGCATTCCCAAGCACTTCCCCTTACCCACGGGTCTGCAACCCGTATGGCACCTCCTGGGAGAGGAAACACACAGTGCACAAACAGCAGTGAACTTACTAGTGGTGACAGTTATTGGGCAGTTCTGTAGTTTGCAAAAAATTGATCAGATTTGCCAAGGAAAATAAATAATTGGAAAACTGAGCAGCTAATGGCTTCTTGCAGGACAGAACCAGTTTCTGTCACTGACAGTGAACTGATGTTTTGGTGGAAAATGACAAAGTGGGAATTTTTCCCTCATGTTGATGAGCCAC